GAGAAACACTGATTTACAGTCATAGAATCATGAACTGAAAGAGACCTCAGAGGTTGGACTAGATCTGTGTTTCTCAACCTCAGCACCCTTAAGATGCTGGCTGGGGAATTCTGGGAGTTGAAGTCCACACCTCTTAAAGTTGCTGAGGTTGAGAAACACAGATCTAGTCCAACCTCTGAGGTCTCTTTCAGTTCATGATTCTATGACTGTAAATCAGTGTTTCTCAACCTCAGCAACTTTAAGAGGTGTGGACTTCAACTCCCAGAATTCCCCAGCCAGCATCTTAAGGGTGCTGAGGTTGAGAAGCATTGCTCTAAAGAAAGAGATTCTGTCCCTTTTATGCAAATTCTCTCTAGTTCCAGCACCTGGACCGCCTGGGGTTTGCACTACAATGGGACTTGGCCCAAGGCTGCCTCTCCTAGAATTGCTCTGCCTCTTCTGCATCGGCTGCAGTGTCCCCTGGTTTCTTCCTGCTTCACCCTGAGCCCCTCCTCTGTGTCTGTTATGGTCATCCAGCAGCTACCACACTCTTTCAGAAGAACGCTAGAGCTGTGTTCTGAACTAGCTTGATTTTATAGGTAAGAGAAAGAGGGAGAGATTGCCAAGAGCATTTGGGGAGCTCCTTCCACCTTCACCCTGCCTTCCATTAGATCTTCTACCTTCACAGGTAGATGGACCCACCCAGCTGGCTGGGCAATTCTGGGAGTTGAAGTCCCCACATCTTAAAGTTGCTCAAGTAGACAAACATAGGTCTAGTTCAACCTTCTGGATCCACTAAAGCAGGATTCCTCAACCTTGGCAACTTTAAGACAGGTGGACTTCAACTCCCAGGATTCCCCAGCCAACTTTGCTGGCTGGGGAATTCTGGGAGTTGAAGTCCACCCGTCTTAAAGTTGCCAAGGTTGAGGAACCCTTCACTAAAACATTTTGGAGAGATGAATCTCCAGTTTCTGTATGAAGAGCTCCAGGGAAGGGAAACATACTTTCATAAGGGAGGGTGTTCCACTGGTAAACAGCTCTTACCATTACAAAATCTGTCCTAATATCTAACCTGAATTGACTGTCCCATCAATTTAATCCATGGGTTCCGGTCCTGACCTTGTGGCAACAGAGAACAAGTCCACTCCCTCCTCTATACAATAGTCCTTCAGATATTTGAAGGCTGATCTATCTCCCCTCATCCTGTTTTCTGCAGCCTAAACACACCCTTTAAAAAAAATATGGTTATTTCTTTTATTACATTCTTTATTACATTCAATTAAAACAAAGATCTATTTCCAAAAAAGATAATATCTATAAATGGATAGATAATTACTGGTTATGCAGATAATTACTGGTTATGCAATTAACACACAATATAACATTAGTAAAAGATTCCAAGTAGTGTAGTGTGAGTTGTATTCATAATATCAAAAAGATAAATGTTTGAGCTTTATGCCAAAGTCTCCACTATGTTATTATTTAGAAATGTTAAAAAAAAGAAGAAAAGAAAAACATCCCTAAAAATAATATAGATGAATATTTGATTTCTGACTTCCCCCTTCTTTGTACTCCAACCGATTTGCAGTACAGATAGTCCTCGCTTAATGCCAGTCATTGGGACTGGAATTTCCGCCGCTAAGTGATGAGGTCATAAAGTGCAACGCCACGTGACCACATCACTGAGCAACAGCAATCCTGGCAGTCCCCGTTGCCGTCATTAAGTGGTTACCATGGATCATTAAGCGAGGACCTCACGTGACTGGGACTTGTGACTTCCTGCTGGCTTCCAACAAGCAAAGTCAGTGGGGAAGCCGGCAGGAAGTTCCAAGTCACAGTCACACCAAGCCCTTCCTTACACAGCTCATGGGCAGACCAGCGGGCGGGTGAGTGATATGGAGTGCAGGCAGGGGGGAGGGGGGAGTGCAAGCAGAGGAAGGCTGGCAGGGCGGCACAGCATGGCACAAGCACAGGAAGGCCAAAGGGTGGACAATGTGAGTGCAGGAGGACCAAGGGGTGTACTTGTCCTGCTGCCCGAGGATGCCTCGGAAGAAAAAACAGGGAGAGCGGGAGCACCTGACCAGAGCGACTTGCAACCTTCCCTGCCAGCTTCTCCATTGACTTTGCTTGTGGGAAGCCGGCAGGGAAGGTCGCAGATGGCAATCACGTAGCCATGGGATGCTGCAACTATTGTAAGTGTGAGCCAGTTGCCGAGCTGAATCACAATCACATGACTGCAGGGACACTGCGACAGCCAGAACTTCAAGGACCAGTCATAAGTACCACTCATTCAGCACCGTCACAACTTCAGTCATTGAACGAGTGGTCAGTAAACAAGGACTACCTGTACCTATTGGTATAGACTTTAGAAACCCTACTCTAAGTGTTTGCATGTATCTTGTTTTATAACCCCTTTAACCATTCCTCAAAGGGCTTGGTTTCCAGTTTCCAGTCCCTTCACCATCTTGGTCCCCTCTGAACTCCTCCAAGGAAGCTTGTCCAACCTCCTTTCTTTCAAACAAGGCATCATCTAAACTAGGCATCAACTAGTTCCAATGATAATTTGTTAGCCCACTTCTGTTCTCTCTCTTTCCCCTACCCCAAGTACAGAAGACCAGCTACAGTGTTTTTCCCTTTTCACCCCCTCCCCCCCATCCCATATTTAACTAAAACTGGACCAAAAGCTGTCTTGCAACCTTGCAAGAGCACAATTGCTACACATTGTCCTCCTGCAAGAAGAACACAGGAGGGATGGGGTTGGACTTTCAGGCTCAGCATCAGAACCCAGTGTGATGTCCCTCAGGAAGAAATCGAGGAAGAACCCCCCCAAATTAACAACTCGCTCCCATGAACTAGACCCAACTGGATCGATCACACCCCTGTTTTCAAGGAAAGCTTGTCCATCCTTTGTGAAGGCTCAGAGAAATCGTGGGAGAACTCCTCCAACACCACCCCCTTTTCACACAGTGCTCTTGTTAATAGGAGGTCCATTGCCAAACAGTTGGAGACACAGTGTCCTCTCCACGGGAACCCTGCAGATAGTGCAAGTGGCCCTTCATGATCAAGGCCACTACGAGTGCCACGCCATCAATGCTGTTGGAGCCCAGAGTTTTTCTGTGAAGCTCTGGGTCACCCCACATGGTAAGTTCAAATGCAGAATTCTTTCTGATCTTGCCTTCACCATCCCCTTGAGTTCCTTCTGCCCTTGAAACTAGTCTTCCCCAACCTGGTGTTCTCCAGCATGTTTGGAGTTCAGTGCTCAGGATGTCTAGCCACATGGCCAACCTATCCGGAAAACAAATCTCCCCTGAATTTATGTCCCAAATTAAAATCTAACTCCATGCTTTCTCTCCCCCAACCCCTTGTCCTTCCTAAACAGTTATGCCTGTATTTCTTCATCCACCTCGAGATACAGTTGCAGATGTCGGACAAGACATTGAGATCCCTTGTACTGCCCAAGGAGATCCACAGCCAACGATAACGTGGGCGAAGGTCTGATTGTTTATCACTTAACACAAGCAGGGCCACCTTCTGCACGGTGGTGGGGCCATTGGGTATAGGCTACTGATGCAAAATGAGGGTGTCTTATTTTGAGGGGGGATCAAGTTCTCTTTGCCTTTTCAAGTGAATTCTGCCAATTTTAGGACTTACACAATGATTTCTGCATGATTCATGCCTTCCAGTGAGCAGCTATGCCCTACATTTTCAGCAGCAGAGGAAGCTACACTTGCAGGGGTGTCCACAAAGGTTAACGAAGTCAAGATGGTGGTCACGATCATTCAATTAAACTCCCACCCCTTTTGACATGCATCAGAGTCCATGTAAAAAGAAGATGGGGCTTTAATTGTACATTCCTCAAAGTCAAGATGGTGACCAGGACTACATAATTGAATCCCCCCTCCCTTTTTTCACATGAAGTCTCATGCGTGTAAAAAAAGGGCAGGGCTTCAGCTGCACCATCATGGCCCCCCATCTTCACTTAACTTAGATTCCAGTCATTTTTTGGCAAAAGGGGGGCAAAAACCCTCTTTCTTGTCCAAGAGAATGGAGAAACATCCCTTTCTTCATCTCACTAGGACCTCATCAGCATCAATTCATGGTCCAAAAGATGTGCTAATTCATGAATTAATAATTGTATGAAATGAATTAGTAATTATATGACCACC